ATAAAGATAACCAACTCATGGTGGATATAACCATCAAATATCAGACATAATATCAGTCATAATAAGCCAGAAACAAAAGAAAAAAACAACTGTCAAGTTAAACTGACCCCATGATATACGTAGCGGTTTAAACGTTCAATCACGCGTGTACCTTCTGGTTTTGTGGTCTGGATGAAAGCTTTCGTCTGTTGCCCCTTTTCAGTTGAAGAATAAATTACAGCTGTTGATTTTTTATCGCTTGTTGTACTAGGTGTTGTAGTTCTTTCTATTTAGAAGAAATAAAGATATACATAATATACTATTGTGAAGTAAATTCAAACAGACATTATTTTGTTTATAGTCCGCTCTATAGACATCCATGCTATATTCAGTACCTTTTGTGGTTGGAAGGTTTGGCGGCAAAAAACACCATTTATTGTTGATAGACGAACATGACTGAACTGCAATGTAAAAGAGGATATTTAAAAGATAGCGTATCTAGGTTCACAATTTTTTTTATTTGTTTTGAATTTGCGAGTGAAGGGAATGATAAGTAATCTGCAGTCCCCTAACAAAAATCACGCCTTTCCCAATAAAAATCATATGTCAAGCAGGATCGAAAGGAACTGGGGTTTCGAAGGAAAAGAAAAACAACGAAAAGATATTAGTGGAAACTTTACCAACCATTTACCTTCATTGTATTCACATATAAACATGTTTAGCGTTCTACAGTCAATGTCATCAAATAATCCCCATCCTTTATAGTGTTTTATCATTTTAACACAACCTTCTGATCCACGTGGTTCGCCTGGCAGCCATTTATCAATGGTCATGTCATGTCCACTTATCCACTTCCAGTCGTCAGTTCTTGATGTTCCCTTCAAACCAATAAACCACTCGTTTTTTCTTACATCTAGACTTTGTATCGTCTTGTTGATGAACTGATACTCCTCTTCTGTTTCCATGGATATCACGGTTCCGTTATTATCTTGGCAAATCTTGTTGCTATCTTCCCAATTCTTTGGTATTTTGTGGAATGAATAGCAGGAGCAGTAATCGGTTTCTATAAAAAGAAACGTACTCCTCACTGTTGATATTTTTATATAACGTGTAAAAAGATGAATATTTTAAATACTGTTTTGAAACAAATAAAAAACATTTTGAATGTCAATGTTAGATGCTTTTGTTTTTTTCTTTCGAATTCTTGTCATTTGAAATCTAGAAGTGTTCACTGGGTTTAAGCGGTTTTCGCAACCGTACTTACCAATAGCAAAGAAACTCTCCGACTGGAATATAACAAGAAGTAATGCAATAGCCGTAATCCTGATAGGTGTTTGATGCTCCATTTTGGTTGAATCATATGACCCTAAAATAACAATGCAATAGCTGTAATAATGATAGGTGWACGCTCCATTTTTATATTTTCCTGTTTCATGGCTACTTACAGATGAATGCTAATTAATTGACCCTAAAATAACCAGGTAGCAATGCAATAGTTTAGTGTAATACTGATASGTTTACAATCTTCCTTCATGAAACGATAAAAATGTTTGGAAATTCACCTTCTTCGAACTAAGTAAGGAACTGCAACAGACATTATAAATAATGCATATGCATGACACATATCCTTCTGAAATAACACATATCCTTCTGAAATAACATTGATTGAATATTGAGACTCGACGTCAAGCAGAGAATAGTTATTGATAGGCTACATCACGTGATGGCAGCCATGACAGGAGGCAAGAACAATTGAATCTGGTCTTATCTGATTTACATAAGAAAGAATTCAGTTTCCCAGGGAAAAAAGACTGTATTGTTGTGGCTCCTGCCATCACGTGAAGGTGCGAAGCCTCTATTACAATGCAAGAATATGTTTTGGAAGGTGACTTTCAAGCACACAAGAAAAACTCTCACTAGCAAAGTTCTTTTTTTAGAATATGCAGGTTAACTGTTAAAGTAATTTCATGTATTTTGTAACCATGAGGGACAGCGCCTTTGAATTTAATTACTGGGTTGCCTAAATGCTATAAATTAATGATTTACAGACCTGAATGAAGACAAGTTGWATAACTATTCTAAAAGTAATTCACWAATTTACCCGTGTAAATAAATAGTTTTAAGCTTGTGCGTGTAATGTCGAACTGTGACAAGGTCAAGATGAGGAGTAACGTAACAGCGCATAACGCAATGCTTTTAGCTGGACCCGGGCAAGAAGTCGAGCTAGACATTACTTTACGAGTTAATTAAAGTCGTTATATACATTTTGCTAAATACGATATATTTTGTTAAGCCCTTGCATAGTTGTACAACTTCGAGCCTTTGCACACGACAGGCAACCCAGTTTACGCTCTGAAGAAATTCCGAAATTGAAGAAAGCATACAAGTTCGCAAAGACATTTTCATAAATTAACTTAGTTCTGACCCTCTTCTACCTCGTACGTAAAAGTTTCGTTCTCCACTTTCTTATTAAACTGTTTTTTCTATGTAACGTGCTCTTAAAGAAATTGGGCACTGAAATAATTTAATCAAGTGCATGTATACTTTTCAGTTTTCGCAATTCGACGCAGAGTAGTCTAGAAGATCAACTTAACTGCGGGTARTCAACAGATGTACTTTCAATTTAAAGAGTGAAAAAATAAATAAATAGATAAAAGAAAAAAAACAAAAAACAACTTGTGTTCACGGTTCGAGTGTCTTCACCGCAAGCAAATATACAGTACGACGATCCATACACCGAATCGAAACCATTGGGCGACCAACTTGAATTACTGTTGTTCTGAATTGACTAGCCTCGTTTTCACATGGAAGCATAAAAGGGTTTTCACATGTGTGAAAATCTAGTCAGTCCTGCACAACATTACTTATTCAAATTGGCMGCCATATTTCAATTCGGTGTATAAAAGCCTTTTTGGCCTTTTACTGAAAAGTTCTAAATTTAACGAMATTTTGCAATTTTCTCAGTATCTATTGATTACGGTGTTCTCTTCTTGTACGTCGTACATCTATACTCTATGCTTCACTTCAAAACTTACATCRGGTGTTCATTTAATATCATACACTCAACACATTGTGCATATGCCACGTACTGCGCTGCACCAATTGACTTTTCTAAAGTATTGAAAACATTCAATTAAACTTGATTGCTAGTTTTAGAGGATTGAGTATCCTTTGTTCGTTATTCCTCCATCCGCATAACCAAGCATGCNGGTGTTCATTTAATATCATACACTCAACACATTGTGCATATGCCACGTACTGCGCTGCACCAATTGACTTTTCTAAAGTATTGAAAACATTCAATTAAACTTGATTGCTAGTTTTAGAGGATTGAGTATCCTTTGTTCGTTATTCCTCCATCCGCATAACCAAGCATGCYAAATTCCAGTCAGTTCGATCTGTGGGTAAGCCGTGCCATAACCTAGATCAATCCAGTTGTTATTTCAGGTTTTGATCAAAATGAGTGGCAATAAAAAGGYCCTTGAGTCATAACAGCTGTTCATGGGAGGAGTTATAATAATGGAAAATTTTGTATAAGGTCATATTTTTACTACAAAAAGTCATGATAATTAGTAAGTATTATACAACTGAAATATTAGACTTGCCTAAAGTCGAACTCTCTTGTCTCCCGAGGAGCTTTTTTTCCTATTCRACCGAAGCAAGAATTTAGTTGAAAGTCTACTGAAATATGAAAGGTGATGGTTTTAGTAACTATAGTTAATGTGTCAATGTGTAGAATGATACGAGATGAAAATTAGTTTGCCATGGAACCCGTCTTTGAGACYATACATTATCTTCACTCTGTCTACTTCTTGGTTAGGAGCACTCGATCTTATTAGCTTTTTTGTTTTATATTTTATTTCGTTATTTATTCAAAAAACGATTTAAAGATTCAAAGGCCACGATTCTGGAAATCGCATGCATTGCCTTTCAAGGTCATTTAGCAGCAATATTTTTCGGATGTTGAGTTATATAAAAGAACGAAAAAGCTTTAATTTTCAATTTGGCGTTTGTGGTAAATTCTAGTCGGAGTCTTGTAATTATATTCGAAGGTCTAACTTGTTTTTGACGAAGGGTTATGAATCGGCCACTGGAGATAAAATGTGCACTTATTAACATATTATRTTATATATATCGTTTTAGATTAAACTAAAAAAGCAAGCATGAATAGGATCAGAGCTCTGCTACTTCTCTTTGTAATCATATCTACGTGGAGAACATCTTCGTKTCAAGGTATAAAGAATTTTTCTAATGTTAATATTTTTTATATGCTCCACTTTCGCAAACCTATGATA